CTTCCGAAGCCATAGCATTCGAAGTTCAAAGCCGAATGTGCGCCAATAATTTTCAAATGACATCGATTAAAAAAATCGCAAAAAAATGACGGCAGATGAGGGTGTTTTCAGTGTCTAGCCGCTGGCTTTTTCTTGGCTTGTGTACAAATGTGATTTGAATGCGCGCGCTTCCTGGCTTTTGTACAACTAACCAATCAGAATGCCGGCTCGTGAATCAATCGCCCGCTGGAAGCCTTCAGCCTGCAAGCCATGGTTTCCGGGTGCTCACGGCTACGAGGGCTTTGTGATGCCACAGTAAAGTACTGAGACGCACTTATTCCTGCAGGGTTGGCCGAATTATCCGTCGACTCAGGGTAATCACCTTAATAAAAGTGCGGATTCTCTGGACAGGTGGAATGCCTGCAATCCATGATTGTCAATTGACGCCAGATATCGAAACACAATAGGTCTGCGGGAGGACCTAATGTTATTGGTCTTCTTGCACGTGTGTAGATAGCGAGTAATCAATGGAAAGATCATATTATGGACGTGTAGTTGCCGAACATACAGTCACTTACATTTCAGGGATAACCACTCGAAGTTGTGGGGTGTTTTACGGAGTTTACATTAAGTCTGATTGTAATTTCACAGATGAGGTATTTCGTGAAAATGAAAGGCTCGGGTCGCGCTTGCTAATTTGGGACACATGACCCCAATAAACATGTGTATCAGGCTACGCTATGGGCTGTTTTGTGAGACAGTCTTTCGAGGGATGGAACTGAGACGTCTTCGGTTGTTCGACAATCATCGTCTTAAAACCATGACTCGTATGAGTTGGTGTCCACAAGGTAATTACAAGCTGAATGTTCGATTTCGCAACAGGGATTTCCATCGATGGCTGTTTTCAGCTTTGACTTCACCAGACACTTCCGTCAGAGCCAGCACAACTACTGAGGTATTTGATATTCTCCACAACATCCAGTGCTTTCAAGATGCCTGTTCAGGTGCTGCACGTTTTGCAGTGTCGGTCGTTTGTGCATATGGCATCCAACTCCTCTACCCAGTCGAAACCCAGCTTGATGCTGGCGGATTAGGTTTTTGCGTCCCGCCGTAAAGCTACACCGGAAGCCTTGTTAAATCGGTAGTCAAACTGATTCTCGACAATATTCTTCCTTTACTGATGATACTTTCCCTGAGATAGACGATGATACTTGCTTCATGAGGCTTGAGATGTCATACCTCCCTTAGACCTTCGACGCAGAGGAGTCCGGAGGGCTACCTAAAATCGATATCGTCATCATTGGCATCAATACTCACTGGCGCCTAGCCACCGTACAACTATGAGAGAGCTGTGATGTTCAGCTGTGGCATACTTTCGGTGCCTAACTGCCATGCCACCAGAAAGAAGCACGAGGGTTGGGATACTGCCAGGGTGCCCAATCCTATGTAGGGGAATTCTAGAGGCAGTGTTCGGGTTCGAATCGCGGACCTTCCGGTCAGTAAATTCGCTCTCCATCCATTGAGCCATCTCGCCTCCATGAAGAAGAAAGCCGTACCAAATAAGTGGAAAGAATAAGATGTCTACACCTTTGGATAACATTAAGATAAACACATCTAAGCAAGGCGCTATCAGAGAGAGAGCGGGTCAGCCTCCTTTCGAATCTCAGCCGACATTACCTAAGCACACATCGATAGTCTAACTTTAGCTAAGACCACCAGCTAGAAATAAATAAAAATATAAATCGTTCAGCTGTAGCGCCCTTTCGGTGCCTAGCTGCCATGCCACCCGAAGGAAGCACGAGGGCTGGGCTACTGTCAGGTTGCCCAAGCCTAGACAGGGGAAGTCGAGTGGCGGAGGTCGGGTTCGAACCACGGACCTTCCGGTCAGTAAATTTGCGCTCTAACCACTTGAGCCATCTCGCCCCTGAGCCATCTCGCCACCACATTTATTTTTAGAGTTAACAACCTGTCCGTTGTCTTTTAATGGGCAGTGAACTCTGCTGAGCTGAAATTATGACGCTGCTTCGTAGCTGGCTAACTTATAATTTTACGCGCAACTCTTCCAGCTTGACATAGAGCTGTAGGTTTATTAGGCACCTGCAGGAGAAATTTTCATCTGAAGTCTGTGACATCGGGTTTTTTTTACAACTGCATCGCTTTCTTTTACTAGCAGTGTTATGAACTGCACCGTATGGAACGTACTGTGTGACAGTGGCTGCTTTACGTCATCTCTGGTACCTTCTGCCTCTCACCAACTTCGGAACTAGTCAGTGTGTTGTACTCCAGTGGTCGCTGATGATCATGATCTGGCGGAATCCCAGAGACGACTGAATCCCCTATAGCTTCAACTTGACATATGTCACCATGGGCCATTTGGAGTTGCAGTCAGCGCCCATCGCCGAAGGCCAGTGTTCTGCGAATGAACTGTTCTTCATCGTCTTTGCGAATCTTTCCGCTGACATCTGTCATCTTTTGCCCGATGGGTTGAACCAGCTGAAATAGGATTCAGTTTTTTTTAGTGAAGGCCTCTCTCCCCCTGCACCCGTTTCCCGCACGCCTTGAGCCTAACGCTACTTCGCAACAACTTGACAAATCGTTTCTTATAAGAATAGTTTTGTTTCCAAGCATTTTGCCGCGTGGAAAAATTAACTACGATTTGAGCCTATAAGATACTAATTTTCCTTATCTTCCGAATCAGAATTTCTGTTCCACTCAACGGTTTCTCTCTTCTCTTTTACAGATCCCTCCAAGATGACTGACACTTGTTTCGCCCTTCCATTGACTCTCTACGATGAGATTTTTCGTAAGCTAGGTGTTTTTTTTCCATCCCAATGTTTGCAGAGAAATACGGAGATAAAGCCCAGCAACAGTTCCGTGACTTGCTATCCGAGGCTATATCGAATAAAACAGATAAGGTATGGTGACAGCATTATTCGATATTTTTCAAGATCCCAATATTGAATGAAACCTCTTTGGACTTGATCCCCGATGGACATCTTGTATGTGTCTATGGCATGGTGCAAGACATGTTCGGTATCGAGTTATTCATGGACGAGTTCTCGTTAAGTGGTAGCGGCGATAATCGGTTACGTTCTTTCCGATTTCGAGACTTTGGTTCTGACGAGGTGGGTGATTGAAGCCTTGTTTCAACATTTCGTTACAATTGTCAGCAATGATAAAACCTAATATGGCCTCATTTGACGCATTTTATTGTAGATCCTGGTTTGTGTTAAGACCCTGAGGAAGTTTGCCTTCTAACTGGTATATATAGACAACTACTGATGAGTCCTGATAGGATATATGTTCTACGGTAGAATCCTGCAGTCATACCTGCTGATAGACGGTTATACTGACTGAGAATACTCTACATTTATCGTTTTGATATTCGGTGATTTCGGCCAATTAACTGCTGACTTTTCATCACCAGGTGGGTTAACACCATTCCTTCATCAGCGCTCTAATGTCACTTGCTCTGGTGACAAAATGCATCCCAATTGTTAAGCTGAGCTAATGGACCAACAACCATCTATACAAACTGACCCACCTCCATTACCCTCGACAGCACATCATGGAGTTAGAAAGATAAAAGTACTTTTCATATCTCTAGGGAGAAGAGACATGTGGACAACAGTTCAAGGCAAGACCAGCTCCAACTCCGAAAACGTCTCTCACGGATTTGGGGCGTGTCGTCTAAACGGAAATCCACGACATTATACATTGGGCCATTAAAGCTTATTGCCAGAAATACCAGGTCGTAACGAAGATATGGTAAATTGATGCCTAGGAAAAAAGTGAAGGCTCATATTATTGAAGCCTGGCAATTTTATATTAATCGTCTTCATACTGTGCATGACCAAAGTGACCTGGTTAAAATTCAGGCGAACGTCTTGGCGCCTGTAATCCACATCTATAACGTTACCGCATGGCTTTTTTAAACTGCAAGTCACCTCGACTGGTCGTTATGACAACGGAATCCTGGACGAACCACTAGATTGGTTTCTGGGAGTGTCTTTGGTAGAATATCCAGTTTGCTTTTGGTGAATTTCGATGAACATATGTGGGAGACAATCACAATGCATAGCTTCGACGCAACTCTTACAAAACAAATCTTTTAAAGCTAGACTTAATTAGTCAGCAACTCAGGAGTAGGTTCGGAGTTCGGATATTCTCCCCTGGAGATCACAGCATGACCCTGAAAGTGTCGTAAGTAGCATTTTCTGACCACTCATTGCCAACGGAAAACGCTATATGGACTCCCAGTCCTTTGCTTCTTTTCAGAGTAGTGATGTTTTCTTAACTTAAAGTGAAATGTTTTTGTCCAAATTTTCCAACAAATTTCAGGTATCTAGTGCGATCCCTCCTCTAATTTGTGCCTCTGAACTTATTTTGCTCAAATTAGTGGTCTTATCGCCGAAGGATTAGGATTTTCCATGTTTTCCTCTTTCTGTAGAAGCTATTTTCCCCTGCTTTTAAAGTTAGTATTATCGAATGTGATGTTTCGTCTTCGAGCCACAAGGAAAAATAATTCCATTCTGTCTGTGCTACGCACGCCGACTGTCTTGTATTCCCAAAGCGTAAGAATTTTTTTAAATTTCGGTGAGTTTCTGTAGACACAGCTACTTTGGTTTGCTATGTAACAGCTTCCGTGTTTCGCAGTTCCAGCGTTGCTCCAAAGCCGATCACCTTCAATACATATGCGGCAAGCATTGGCTTATGTTTTTTGTCGACACGTGAGGCATATGTGGACAACTGTTCGTCGCGGTATGACTTCGTCATTTTCATTTTAGAAAGTAAACTGGCGTGTCTGGAAATCCTATATTGTGGTGATGTAATGTAGTGCTAAAAATAATTCTTCAGCCGGCGCCCAGGTGATATTCCACCCGAAGAAAGTACGAAGGCTGGGATACTGCCAGATTGCCCAAGCCTAGACAGAGAGGCAAAAACTGGATTCGAACAACGGACCTTCCGGTCAGTAAATTCACGCTGTAACCATTGAGCCATCTCGCGGTGTGACCATAATGCTTTGTGGATCAGAAACATGGTGTCTTTGCGCAAAGGAAAGCTCTCACGGTTCAACCCTGAGTACCTCCAAAACGGCCTTGCTGATCTTGTAGGAACATTGGGTTAGAAATTCCGTTTTACGCGAGATAGTTTTTGGAAGAGAGGACTCTCCCGCACCAATCGTGCTTCTTAAGCTGCGTTGGTTAGGACCCATTTCGCATGTCGAAGAACCGTCTGTCTCCCTGATGTTTTGTCTCATCCTGTGCTGAGTGAAGAACGTGATACGGTGTGTGGCGTGTAAACGAAGTATGGAGCTTATAATCATAAAACTCAATTGGGTTGACTACTGCTACGTCTGTAGATGAAGAGCCATGGACTGAATCGAACTCCATTCTTCCGATAGTCCAGGAGTATCATTTTGGCTGATCAATGTCGGTGTCAACATGATGCGCAGACACTAGCACCACGGTACAGAAAGGTTGCACTTGGTTTACAATTGAGGTAGATTCTCGAGTTCATGGCGCTCACTGAAAATAAAATTACTCATACGAGAACGCCAATGTGCACTCTAGGGCATTTGTAGGTTGTCTCCGCAGAAATGGGAAATTCCACGGGAATCTGATGTGAAATTGTTACAGTGGGTTTTCTTGATAGTGACCATTGTCATGTTTCAGTCAAACCCTGACAACACTCATATCATATTGATTCCTATTCTACTTTTGTTATGGTCGCTGTCACGGTGGTATTGCATGGTAATAGTATAAGGAAAAAATATCGTAGTTACTCCACTCCTACACCAAATTATGCCAGCGTATTTGGAACTGGGGTCCATTCCTGCGAGCAGGATGTGAGTGACGGCGAGTACTGTTCCCTCGTTTTAGTTTTGTTTACATGTCAGCAATAGATTGTATGAGAATACCGCGAACACTTCAGAATATCAAGTTACTATTTCTGTTCCATATCGTCTACTGCGTTCAGGAGACAATTATTTAGAAAATTTGCGGCTAAAAGACGCTACATCCCCGCTTTATGGTTGAATACTGAGCACAGCTGTTTTCGACTCACTCAAATGGCCGATACGAGGTCCTCGTTACAACATTCAAAACATTGACTCGTGTGTAACGTGTGTGGTATTCAGGCTGAGTAACTGTTCACGCTACTCACCGCCACCCGCCTATCAGCTGACTGCTGAATTTATTTTTGCTACGGCACATGACACCACCCATAGAACTGAAATTTTCTGTTATGCCCTATACTCGCAAACATCACATATTTAGATGAAGCGCATAGGACGCCGGAAAAGACAATTCTCTGGCAGCTGGAGTTCAGGTCAGCGGAATGGGGTTTGTATCTTTGGTGAATCGTGTAGCTCCTAGTTTGTTGCAGGGTTGTTTTCTTCACCATAATGGGTAGTATTTCCTAGAGAGAATAAAACAATTATGGCGTTGATAGTGGCCGTTGACCTTCCTTAATTGTGCCATACTGTCGAGAAAAGAATGGTATCCCTTGGCTTCTAGGGATACCCATTCTTGTCATAGTTTCTTATACCTTGTTCTAGGGAGACGTTTTAGCTGACAGCGGATCCTATTTCCCCCCTTAGGTATACTCCGGTGAACCAGAAAATGTCAAGTTCGGTGAAAGACAGTCAGCTTATGTTGTTCCTGTCCCTGGAGAATCATCTTGGGTTCGCCGAATATCCTTTTCAGATCGATTTTGTGTAGGATACTTTCTTATATTGCTAGTTACGTTTTGTCTTTCGCTTTAGTTTCTATGTTCATTCGTTAAATAGAGCTTCAAGGGCCCTTTGGTGTGAACTATTAACTGGCCCGTAGTGGGGATATTCAGAAAGGGACCTATTGAGTGCTGTTACACGATTCAACCCCAATCCTCTTATATTGCCGTAGCTTGGGTTGCCATGAGGACCATTTTTATTACATATTTTCGCACTTGCAAACAATAATAATAAGTGTTCAGCTGTAACACCTTTTCGGTGCCTATTTGCCACACCAACCGAAGGAATCAGGAGGGATGGGAGACTGCCAGGTTGCCCAAGCCTAAACAGGGGAAGTCGAAAGGCGGAGGTAGATTTCGAACCACGGACCTTCCGATCAGTAAATTCGCTCTCTGACCACTGAGGCATCTCGCACTTGCAAAACTGTCATCCTGTTCAAGATGAATGTAGGGTAACTAAGGAACCAGGAAACGTCATCAAAATGTTTTGAGAAGTTTAACGGCGTCCCAGCTATATCCGAAGGTCATTGGGTCCGACTTTGCTAAAGGAAGAAGACTGATATGATGATAATACATCAGAATAACCAATAGTTTCAAGAGAAAATGTGACGTTTCTCAAAATCAGCCAACGTCTGACGGATACATCAGCCCAAATGCAATTAATGGGCTCCAGGACCGAGCTTCTGAAACACCTGTCATCATCATCGTAATTTTCGGCCGACTAAAAAATCTGTAGACCAATGTTTCAGTACCCCAAGTCGATAGAAGAGAACGAGACAGGCGAAACACAATGGTCATCGAATTCTGATTGCCAATTTTCAAGACCACTCTACCGGCCAGATGTCGATTCGATCTATACGGTCTACTTTCTCCAACCCAAAATGACCTACTTGACTAGAAACAGCCATAAACAGTCTACAAAATTGGAGAGCAGCAGAGGACGGCCTGCCTATAGAGCTTGAAAGATCAGTGCTGCCGAAGGAAATTCCCTGTCCCTTATGAATAATCTTGGAGGTGTAAGACGTTACGCAGGATTTAAACGGCGTAGTTACAAGTTTTCTGCAAAGAGGAAAGGTCGGTAGAAGACGGGTAGATACCACTAAGCTGGCCTTCTGAGCGTGGCTCGTATCCTGTCGATTTGACTAGTTGCTGGTATTGTTGAGTAAAACGACGCAGATTTTGAAACGGTCAAAGTGCAGTGAACTTAGTATTTGTGGCAAGAGAAGTGTCGTGGACGAAGCCGCTCTATTAGTTGTTTATAGATTCCACTAGAGCCTTCGACTGTGCCGATATAGGCACACTGTTGATCGTTTTACAAAGGGTTGTCTGGGCGCACAAATTTATTACCCAAGATGTTTTAGACTCGGATGAAATGTCGAGTACGCGCCTGCGCAGCTACCTCAACCGAGTTTGAATTCTAGACATGAGTGAAGCGGGTTTGTCTCATTACCTCAGTTACCTGTGCTGGAGGGAAGTCTTCCTGCCGGTCCCAAACATCCTCCTCTTGAGAAGTTAATGAGTAAAACTTCATCGAAAGAGTATTTTGAGGATATCCGTCAATGACCGAGTCTGGTCCGTTTGCCATTCGGAGGTAAAAATGATTAGGACTTGCACAAGTCGTCACATTTAACTTCTGTGTTGATGATCTTCTGTGGTGGTAGGGGTATTAGGATGCTAGGTCATAGTGAGATTTTGTTCATGTTCTCAGTAACCCGAACGTGAACATCTACCTCCAGAACGGTGATACCCAGTTTGTTGTTTTCAATATTTATCACGCCATTTGCGTTCAGTTTTGTGCCGGTTGCTTTAAATCAGCCCCATTCGATGGAATTCGGCTGTAGTTATTAGAATTTGGATATATGGTATGGGACGATTACTTAAGATCAGTAAACAGTCCACTATCAGATTCGCACCGTTTGGGTCTTATCGAGTGGCACGGTCCTTGGTAGATGAGACGATCAGTTGAATGTCACAACGAAATTTCAAACTAACCTGTGTGCCACTTATTTTGTTGAGGACTGTCACACCTGTATCGAATATGAGAATGTCGGTATGCTAGCCAATCGTCTCGTGCCACTGTTTACCACCAACTAAACTATCGGTGTTTATTCATCTTACAATACATAGTCCTTTCGAATCAGGAGCATCTCACTTGGCTCCCTCGCTTACACAAGTGAGGCTACTCACCAAGTTGAACATTTTCGAGGTGGGTTTATCTGTATAGTGAAAACTAAAGTATTCGCGACGCAAGAGGAATCCTGTAATGCGATATAACTAGTCCGGAGAATGCATGAGCAAGAACAAGACAGGTACGAGCTGTTCGGTTCACAAAAGCTCCATTTTAACTCTTGAATCTGTGCGACGTTAGTTCCCATACTGTGTGCTTGAAGTCACGTATTTGTATCATGCTATATGTGAGGAGACTTGGTGACTCCGCACAGATTCACGTCAGGCTGTTATTAGTTCGGGACTCCAGTTCCGAAAGGAACGAAATGTCGGCGGACAGAAATTTTAAGCCATTCTGTTGGTTGGCACAACTCACATGTAAGCTAGAATTGTGATTAAAATCACTCAATCACAACGTTTGTGACGAGCGAGTGCTCTGTGTGGTGGTCAGATCACTATCTACATCCACAGTGGGTGTAATTAGGGTTAGGGTCTCCCATTAACGTCAGTTGAATTTTCAAATGGCAGTTTATCAGCGTATATTGCTTGAACCATCTAGCTGATATGAAAGTCACACTCTTCATGTTGACTAGATTTGGTGGGTTAGAACTTCGGATAGGTGTTTGTATCTTCACTCACGTCTTACGATCGGACTTAACTGTAAACCTGCAAAAGTACATTGTCTATCTTGGTACACGTCCTTCGTACATTGCTGATAATTGGTTTGGATGAGTTTGGAGTGCTTTCGAATCTGAATTTCTGAAATCAAAAGGCTTTGTTATCCGGCCTGCACCTTGACTACAAATGCTTCACGCTCGCGCCAGTAGATGCAAATACACACCGGCCGTTCAGCTAATTGGAAACAAGCGTGCTATTGGTGATGACGAGGAGCTACCTATCGAACCAAAAAAAGCTAAAGGAACAAGTAAGTTCTTCGCTTTTCATCATGTCCTTTACTTCACCCATAGGTGCTGACGCCAGCACAAGCAAGCCAAAACCAAGAAAACAATTTCCACTGACAGAAGAAGAAGAGGAAGAGCAACGGACTGGTGTTTTGGTTCGGGTGAGTATTCCTCCTTATTTTTCCGTAGTTTTAGGAGTTATTTCTTGTTAGAGCACCCGAAAAACGAATCTTACTTTGTTCACCTGTTTTCCATCTTTTCTCTTCCTTCATCGTTGTCAATCCATTCCTTCACCTAAATTCGGCATGAGCATGAGCGGAAAATCCGCAACAGGCGTCGCATGTGTGTTCGCAGATGGCGATCCAGTTCTAGCTCCACTGGTTTCGATCCAAGGCATACTCAAACCGAACATTGCCTCTTTGTCCGCACTCTATTTCGTCGGCAGCGAAGAAGTGTTTAATTTCTAAATGCGAAGCTCATTCTGCAGACGCCCTGTAGTCCGGCTTTAACACCCGAGGAAATAAGAAGAGGGGATGAGCATAGTAAGACCGTTCGAAAAGCAACATGCCCCTTCAGTAAACTCTGGTTTTGCAATCGTTCATAAAAAATCGTTCAGCTGTAGCACCCTTTCGGATGCCTACCTATCATGCTACCCGAAGGAAGCACGAGGGCTGGGATACTGCCAGGTTGCCCAAGCCTAGACAGGGGAAGTCAAGAGGCAGAGTTTGGGTTCGAACCACGGACCTTCCGGTCAGTAAATTCGCGCTCTAACCAATTGGGCCATCTCGCAATCAAGCAGAAGCATCCAAACACTCGAATCTCGTGCTTCCTGTGAAGGGTGGACTGATGACCTCATTAGCCGGAACCCACCCACATTCATTCTGTGTGATATCGATTACTGAAGGTTATTTTCGGCAACCAAAGTTGTCTTTGTTGAGGCCAGTCAATTGCAGGTCCAAACGGGCATCAGTAACCTGGTAATCTTAATGGCACCTAGTTCAGATATATTGTCAGTCTTTATCACTCATAGGACAAACCCAGATCATAATTGCATGACAAACTCTGGTTGACCTCCGGAAAAAAACAACTGTTGGGGCGCAACAGCTTGTGTATCTCCATAACCTATTTCGCCACATTGGAGGTACCCATATTACATCCGCAGAGTCTCATGCCGGTTTAGTCTGTGGATAGAATTCCAACACAGTCTTCTGGTCTTCTCCGTTGGGGTTGAAACATTTGCTATGGCTTGCCTCCCAAAATCTAAAAGTACTAGAAGTTCCCGTAAGACGTCAGTACCCTGTCAGGCTTTTGAGCCAAAGTCCTCGGAGGACACCTTAGTTGTCTTGTTGTTCATGTTTTGGCGCCTTATAAGTATCTCAATTTAAGTACAACCATAACTGTCAAAACCACATCGGCACTCGCCCGACATCATTAGTCGGGCATACGGCAGATTGTAGGTAAATCGAGAAACTACTGCTGATGCCTCCCTTTTTCCTATTTTAACAACTTTCACCCCTTCTCCAATTTACTAAGTATTCCGTTCATGTCATTTACAGCTGTACGGCGAGGAACAAGATACGCTGAAGATCAACGAGGTCGTTGAGGTTTTCGGCATACTGGAACACACTCGTCTTGGGAGTATCATGGTTCAGGATGAATTCGCACAGGATGCAAAAGGATCGGAACCAATACCACGAGTCCATGCAGTTATCATTAGGCGCTTAAAGCACAACAATCCCTCTCTGCCAAACAGTGAATTGATGCCGGCAACGGATAGTCACCCGGACGCGGACAAATCTAGTTGTCTGTTGTCCTTCGTGGATCAGAGTCGCATGAATGCAGCCCGTTCAACCCTGCACACGATTTTGTTGGAGTGTTACAAAGGCGACTCACTGGCTGCTGACTATACTCTGATCCATCTTTCATCCGCTCGGTAAGCAGTCACCGCAGAATTTTATCTCCCCCTCTCAGTCATGACAATATGTTATCTTCTCTGGGGGGGGGGTGAACAGAGTTCGTATGTTATGTTCTCGAAAGTTAGATTTTACATAAATTGGGGTTTCTTATTCTTGTCACCTAGTGAGTCACATCACATCATTGTTTATCAGTTTCAGTGACTTATTTTTCCTCGTATCTTATCACACCCCATTAGCCGAATCGAACGAGTTCTCCAGCATTCAGGCTAATTTTGTCATTAGGGAAATCCTGTCTGCTAACTCAGTCGGTTGCTGGGTTTATGACGCGTCTGAAGAAACAATAAGCTAGGAGAGTATGGTTAAAAAAATCCATATCTGATTGTTTTCTCCTCTGTGAAACGGTCTGCAGCCGCGCAACTGAATAGCTTACCAAAAATGAGCCACCTCAGCCATACTAATAATAAAAACTAATAATCTTTCAGTTGTAACACCCTTTCGGTGCTCAGCTGCCATTTCAGCCGAAGGGAGCACAAGGTTTCAGAGACTGTTAGGTTGCCTGAGCCTAGACAGTAGCAGCTGAGATACCGGATCTGGGTTCGAACCACGGACCTTCCGGTCAGTAATTTCGCATCTTAACCAGTGAAGTATGTCGACCTCCCTCATCATTTTGCTGAATTGCTATTCCTGATGAACTTCTACTGTACTCCATTCTTTCAATTCCATAACTAACTTTATATTGTTCTTTCTCCTGATCTAGTCTTGACGTGGAAAGTCCTTACCCAAGCAAGCTACCAGCCCTAAACATTGTATGCCCGACAAATGATGAGGATACAACTCAGCCATCTTCGCCTGGGGTTCACGCTACGCCAGCAGACACTGCCGGCCTTTTGAGTCGTCTGCGCTTGTTACTTCCATGTCTCGTGACGCAGCTTGCTCCTGTTACTGTGACTCTGGAGTCGCTTAACAATGGCCCCAATCTGATGCCAATCAGGGATGCAGACCGGGGTTCTCTAGATGCGGGTCGTTTACAGCTTCCGAATGGAACACAAGCAAGTTATGGTATCCATTCTTGGTTGCACACTTAGAATGCAATCGAGTTCTGTATTATTTGAAGACGTAGTCAAATAGGATTGATTAGCAATAAATCATTCCATACGAGGCTTTCGCCATAGCGATCGCACCTATTTTCCAATCAACCACAACTAACATGCTTACTCATAATGAACTCTAAGCCCGTGGTTATTGAGTGCATATTTCTTTTACTGGTTTACTCTCGACGGAGTGTATGTATGCATGACATTGTGATTCAGTCCTTTTCCACACTCGCTTTAGGTGCTAGTCGATGAAACAGGTATGACGACCGGCCAACTGCAATCCCGCGGTATTCTCAACCTTCGTGCACTCACGATGCTAGCCACAAAGCAGTGTGTACCGTACGATTTTCAGTTCTACACCCAAGATTGGGACACCGACTGTCGTGTGTTGATAATTTCAGCCGGTCAGTCACTTGTCAAGGTTAGTGTACCACTGTAGTTTGTGATGGAAGCATTTGATTCGCGTCACGTCAACTGATGTTCATCCTCACCAACAGATTGTAGTTGGATTTCACTCGCTGTCCTTTTTAGACCTGAAGTCTGTATTTACGTACGTCACAGTGTATGTCGTTTATCAGTCCACTGTGTTGGGGCATTCGACAATGTCGTCTGATGCAGCTTCGTAGGATTCCCACATCTTGGCGTCCCGAAGCAATACACGAATTTATGTAAACTTGGTTCAAAGCTGGTGTATAGACTATGTTGTGACCGTCCGTCTGCCTCACCGTTGCTCGAGCCCACTGTCCACATGTTTGTGTTCATTCAATTTTCTCCATCTGTTATTATGTTTGCGGTACAATGGTTTCATGAGTCCAAATGATCAGTCTGTTCATTGGACAGTCACGCTTTAGGGTCGTGTTTTTCGGATCTGGCCAATTCCCGTCTGAGGAACGCATTGTTTTATCTGGCTACTCATGAATACGTAAGTAGATAATCTATTTACATTTTTTACAGTCCACTCTGGCCTTACCGTGGGTGCCGGAAGGAGACTTCTCCATCGAATGCACTTACAACCAGGCTGACACAATATGGAATGAATTGAGGAACTACTTGACTATTCTCACTCAATCAAATTCACTCTATTCCATGGAAGAACCACTGCAGAAGGTTAGTCTTTGAACACTTTTTGACTGCGTTCATGCTTCAAATTTCACATTGGTCATCCAGACAGCTACAGCTAGCACAAAAGCTATGAAATGAACATCTCACCGGAAAGGGGTGTGGATCTGACCTGGGTGATACAACAGTATTTTGGCATTAGCGCTGAAGCGGTGCCTCGGCGGACCCATTGGTCTGCCATGGTACACCTTCCTAGTATTCTATTTTGTTGTCCATGGCCGTGAGGTAGTAGCATGGGGAAACTACTATCCGCAGGCTCTAGCTTTCACGCCACCGTATATCATGTATCGTTGCTTGGGCACTTTTCAGCCTCCTGTTGGTCTTTGACTAACAAAATTTTGGAGTTCTACGCTGTGGAGAGGCCACAGAGGCAACATTCAGTAACCATAACCGAACATAGAGGAACTTCCAGTGCCCTTCGAGGACGGTTGTTTCCTGTGCGACCGTCTAATGTCTGTTTGTATATCTTGCATGTGATTTAACAAGCTGAGTAATTTCTCTCGCTTGTATCTTACCTGACAAAAGGTTGCAGTGCGTTATTCACCAATGCGGTCGCCGTAACAGCTGATGGTACCAATGATACTGAATTTCCCAACGAGACTTCACATACTACTAAAAACACTCCTATATTTCTCCGTGTACCATATTTTCCGAAGTTTCGGTTCTATTTTTTGGATCGCTATGTCGTCCCCTTTTATAACATAATCACGGATTCACGAGTACCATTCAAATATTAGCTTCCTAACACCACCACACCATTTTTCTTTGTTCATTTTTCTAAGTCTGATCATGTGTACACGTATAAATAGGCCTCTGAAACCAACGACAAATAAGGCAAACTGCACCCACGTGTGGACCTTCAGGTATTCAGAGGGTTATGCATTTGTGTTTTAACTTGCGTCCTTCTGAACTCAGTCATCAAATAAGTAGTATAATCAGTTGTACAATCAGTGACCCTGCCTAACGTGGAAGTCCATCTAAGTAACTACCTGAGAAATATCTCGGTCTAAGGAGGCGTTCGCTTAGGCTACTATCGTCTGAGTTACTGTGGGCATCAGGCTCCCCGACTTATTTCACGTCACTGTCTCATGCATAAGCAAGACCATAGTTGAGGCTCACGCGTTTCACCCGCTTGATGTACCAATTACTCACAAAAACTTTAGAAGTGAGTTCTGATGGTGAGGAGACTGTGACTCTCTACATGCAGTAGAACCCCGTTAAGCGTTAAAGACGGTTTATCGGAATCTTGCCACGGCAGCAAAAGCTTAATAAATCACAAGCTGAACGCAAAATAGCTGTCTGTGCTAACCGCTCCTGCGGAAGTTTTTCGTGAATCTCATCTGGACGTTAAATTGGAAACTAGGGTTTTTTGTAAGAAGAAACTATATGCTGTGGGATGCTGACGAGTATTCTTTTCAATCCGTATGATATCACACTACATATAACATAGTGTAACCATGCGTTCCGCAAGATTCATGCGTAGACCAACCCTCCGCCAATATGAATGACCCTTCCATTACTCAATGGCGTATTGCTTTTTAGTGCCGACAGCATGGTCGCCCTGTAGTACGCACTTGTCTTTTGGTTTGTAGAACGCGATTTCCATGTTAGCCACCGCGTGCTGCTTCAATAGCAGTAATCATTGCAAACTTCGACCACCAGTCACATTTGTTTTCAATTTGTTTCAGCGAATCAATGATGATTTTGTGAAATGGCGCCGATCGAAGGAAACCTTCATAGAAGCCGATGACTTGGCAATTATGTTATGCCTTCTCAGGTATGTTTACCTCTTTCGCAAGCGACTGTTTATTAAGTTCCACCTAAGCCTCTAGAAGTTCTCAACTTTTTTCAATCGTACACTCAAAATACTCTCCAATTAGTTGGCGAGAAGTCGCCTTGTCCAAACTAATGTGAAATTTGGAACTGTCAACTCCCCTACCCTTGAAATCATTGTGCTGTGGTGGACTATGTTCGACTGATGTTTCCGCACCAAACCCGAGTTTCGGTCTCAAACGCTGCGGTGCTACCCGAATACAAACTGGCTATGCACAACCGAGCTCGAGATAGCTCAGTGTTTAGGACGTGAACTTAGTGGAACATCTCGACTGCTTCATCTAGCCTTAAGCACCCTGACAATACCTCAGCCCCCTGGCGTTTCCTTCGGGTAGCAGAATAGTTAGACACCGAAAGTGTTACAAATGAACGATTGTTATTATGTACAACAATTTTAAATCGGCCACCAAAGTTAGAACATTTTTGTAGCTAAAAGCCGCCGAACTCTCGATGGTATTTGCTGTAAAACCTTCGAGGAGATAAAATTATCGCGTAGTGAATCACCAGTGTCCTCACTCTATGGTGTGCTACCGAAGCTGACTAGTGAATGTTTTGTCGCATGTGAATGAATTAGGATACATCGCACAATTAGCATGGTATGTATATGATATGTTTCAGCCGAACCTCAATCGGAAGCAGAGCTGGTAGATTACATGACTCACTAAGAAGTACCACATCACCCAGTTACAAGTAAGCATAAAAATGGCTGTCGGGGTGTCTAAAGTAAGCATAGTTTGTCTACATAAGTAATTTTTCACCGCTTGATGCTAATAAACTCGTAGCGTCGTAAATCCGCATTGTAAGAACAAAGTGCGCGGGTCATGGCACAATCCCGCTGTCCGGCGATTGACTGTGATTGCCGGTTAGTTATCAAATACGGTCGAAATACCATTAGAACGCCAGGAACTGGACGCGGTTTCAAGTGTCTGCTGTGCTAAGTAGCATCGGAGGTCAGACAGCTAATCCTCACTCCTTACGCGCTCGGGCCAAGGCAGTCTTCCGTAATCAAGCGGCTCTTATTGGGTGACCAGTCCTGGGAACAGTCCACTGACCGTGCTATTTCACGGGTCAGAATTTTGGATCAAAGGCTAGGGGCGATGTTTCTCAAGAAAACCCTTCATCCTCCCACTGTCTTGTGGATCTTACTCTTGATTCAGAGGCACAAAGTTGAAAAAACCAACTAAACAATCTCCCTGGGTAACCAGGTATCATTTGCCCATACGGTTTTTAGTTCATCCCTGCCTCCGCAATTCCTTCCCACCCTACAGGCAGAAGTTGCTAACTTCACTGGCAGCTATCTGAGCTATGCACCTTATGCAACCTGCTGCCGTGTAACGTCAACCGAAATTACACCAAACACTCGAGATAACTTCTACTTAAGACCTTCCAACATACCCGCTTTCGCGGACCTGACCTCACACTCGTATAAGTTGACGTGCCTGTATGTGAACCACGCATACAAGACTCAAGTGTGGTCACAAATCGCCCAGGACGAACTAAGCCTTTTTACACTTTACTGTGTGTTTGGTGATTCTGAAGCGATAGCTCACGAAGGTTTCACTCACCTCCGAAGCTGGATTGGATTTCCGTGAACAGTCATCTTTGCGCCGCTGAGCTGTTAAGCCCAGTTCCACCCGGCATCAAATGTAAGAGCTTACGTCCCGAGGGACTGCAGTTCCGCCGCCGAACTTGTTCGGACCTATTCGTCAAGCAAGAAACTGAAATCGTAATTCTGACGACTGACGTGAATGGCCAAGTCGTCTGCATACTATTGAACTTCATCCAGGTGCCCGAGTCGGGGTCAATGCTCGTCGTGCCGAAAACAGAGACCTAATCCTCCGTTTACGCCATGACTATCACCTGTTTCTGGAAAGCATGAGTTTTAACACACGCTTGTGCTTTGTAGCTCGTGTTGTTGAGTACTTGGAGGAGACCCGTGCTCAGCGGGTTGAAAACGGTATGTCCGACTCCTTCAATGCGTTCAAAATACCACTGCATATCACCGAGTCCATTAGCCAACAGACACGATGATCCCTCAAACGCCGAATAGGGGCACCAAAACTTATCCCCATTTCCAAGCACAGTACGCGTACACTGCCAGGAAACGATCGTGGTCCTACCCTGGTAATATTACCATCGTTTTCTCTGGCCTTGTCCCCAGTTTGACTGGATACAAATAAATACATATAACAATCGTTCAGCTGGAATACCTTTTCGGTACCTAGCTGCCATGCCACCCGAAGGAATCACGAAGGCTGGGATACTGCCAGGTTGCCCAAGCCTGGACAGGGGAAGTCGAGAAGCGGAGGTCGGGTTCGAACCACGCACCTTCCGATCAGTAAATTCGCGCATTAACGACTGAGAACAGACCGCATTTACTCTCCGGTATACCAGAAAACAGCGACACTGCTTCCAGCAAACAACAGTGGTCATCTTGACTTGAAAGTTGCTTTTATGGTTGACTGTCGGGCACTGTAGCAACCCGTAAAGCAAAAATATCCCGTAAATTCTCAAGTCTCTTCAAAGCCCTGTATACCGACTCCCTTAGACGCAGGATTCCACTTCATCCATTGGTGTCAAACAAGACTGTCCTGTTCATATGTACTACTGATATGATCACAGAAACCCCCTCCCTGCCTGTGGTCTCGAAATGTCTTCAGGGACAGACGTCGACTACGCAGACGACATAGCCCTTCTCGGAGCTTACCCAGTAGCACTTCACACCTGAGAATTGGTGTTGTAGAACTGGGCAGCACCAAAAAAGAAGCTTCCTTTTTGGATGAGCCACTCGAGTTGGTCTAACTCCAGGCTTGACTGCCATCCCGATAGGGAAGCCCGGAGTGCGTTTGTATTGGCTTGGACATCGGCTCGTTCACCAAAAATCGAGCGTAAAATGCTGCAGTACACTCAGTATTTCTACATAGATCAGACTTAGCAACTTCAGACTGTGGCCGTCAAAGTACTTTCAGTGACTCCAGAATATCTCCTCGGTCCGACTGGAACGTCGGATCAGTAATGCACATCTAATGGTTTTCGGGCAGGTGTGCTGATCGCACTCAATAGGTTGCGTGCTCCATGTCGGTCCGTTCACATGCTGATGGAGTTCTTTTCTGTTAGGCGGAATTCCGCACCGATACCGCTCGCAGTTAGAAGCTGCTACTACCAAGAGATCTACCGCGCACGCTATCGGCCAGATCAGGCCGCTTGTCGGTCGAGCATCAAGGCGATCTCTGATTGGCCGGACGTCTGGATCCAACAGTCAATCATGATCCAGTGTCCGCCGACTGCCAGCTGTCACTGGCGCATCTAGGCGTCGGAATTTCCAGAATTTTGTCGCTGCATGTTTGACGCGTTGTTTTTTACCGGGTTTTGGTGGCTGTTTTGATGGGAACACTAGCTTGGGATGTTCAGACCAGTATGTACAGGGTGGAAACGAGCTAGTGAAGATCAGGCGCTGAATTGACAGAGGACCTTACAAACAGGGGGCTGCCGTACTCCTGGGTGGGGCAATTTGATGTGGTTAGCAACATGGGCGACCACGGTCCAATCACACGCCCAGTGGCATGAACGCGTTCCAGCCATTGTATTTCTCTCGACTCTCTAGCCAATTATATCAGTTGCGGCCTTCAATCTGTAGCTATCTCCTCTTATATGTCAGCTCATCGGCGTACGAAACCCTGACAACAAAAACCAGTATACAACATGTGCTGACGACGCGTCTCATTAGAACCTTTTGGGATCCGAAACTCCAAGTAGACCACTCCTAGCTGATCATGATCTTGTTCGTTTTCACCTTTGTGTCGTACAGCGTCGACCACGAATTCCTGCCTAGCAGTGCTTAAACGACCTGACGCAAGGCGTTGAACAGCTCCTCGTTTCATCCTTACAGAAATCCAATGAAATGATGAAACCCAACCACACTCTAGCTTACTGATATCCGTTTTCCACACCGATTCTTTTCAGGACCCTTTGTCTGACGCACGGTGAGAACCACGCAACAGTGGAACGTTGGGAACAAGTGTGTCGTATGGAGGAACAACGTCGCCTTCGTTTGAAAAAACGATGACTAACATGCCACCTATTAGCCCTACATGTTTAATTCAGGGTTATGCATTTACATAACCAGATTTCCGCATTGTTAATCGCAAGAAATTTTACGATGTTATATAATTTTACGTCAAGCTCGTATTATTTGTCTATCCAATTTATGCCAAGTGAAGCTGAGTAGTTTGGGATCAGCAACATCTCAATTTGGTGAGGTCTAAATCCGAACAGAGGACACTTGTAAAGCGGCGTATACGAGAATACTTGACTGGCCTAGTTGACGAACAAACACTTTAGACGTCGTAAGTCAGGTGAGACACGTAACTTTGATCGCTGTGAAGTTCAATTCGCGGTCAGTGTCCAAACTGGGGGCCTCACCTTATCCATGACAAGCAGCTCCAGTGTTGTTAGATTTCTCAACTGCCACAGGTTTCGCCTAGGACTTTACCAAGGCATTCGTTCTCATGTGTGTTTGCTCTGTGGAAATTCATCTTTGGTGAAAAACATCTGATGACAGGACAAACAAGTCGTGAGTAGAAACAATCGGTTCATGCATTTATGCATAAAGGCAACCGAAAGCAAGGCTGATAGAAAAATCACCGTCCGCGCAACATGGACTGGAAAGAATTACAACAGCAGCTTGAAAGCCAGGAAGTGTGGATAAACAATTTTGTTCTGAATTTAAAAAGTAATGCAAACGATGTAGCGTGGAATTCGCGAAGTGGCTGCTTATGAAGAAATAATGGTAATAACCGTAGCGCTGAGAGTACGAAGGAAAACGAACTGAGTCACTGCTCAGTGAGGACTAGAAACACGAAGTAAATAAGTGAGAAGAAAGACCAGTGGGAATCGATCGTTTAGCTTGAATTTCGTGGGGTTCCAGGACCGATCATGGCTCAATTCGGACGTCTGGCTGGAATCGAGGGGAGAGGGCGCATTAGCGGACAGTTGGTTGGTTAATCACGTTTGTGCGAGGGCGCCAGATTATTCGAAAACCACTGTCTACTCGCATCTTTATGCTGGCACTACCAGCTACATGGAGCGCCTCAATGACACTCTGCATCAGGTTCTGGGCATTCCCGACCAAGGACTCCGTATTCTCTTGGTCTTCGTTGGAACCTGGGTTGTAAGTGCAAGAAGAAATTGAGGCTGAATGAAATACATCCGGCTTGAGTGTAAAAACAGGACTAAGCAATGTTCATCATCAGGCTGTGCATGCAAGCATTTTTAGGGGGCTTAGAAACCATGAGCAGTTAGGAGGCAATTATCAATCATAAGCAAACTGTAACAAGGGCTGGTGAACTGGTTAAAAACAGCGCAGTTTGGTGATATACTTGGTGTTAAGTGGCAGAATCACATCGAGCTGGCCGAACAGTCATGTCACACGAGAACTGATGCACAAAACAGGTGCGTGACCGGAATAAAACTGGTCAACAACCAGACATGGATCACCATCCAGACGTTAATATGCTAGGTAGGCGTGCGATAGTAAAGCCACTAGTTTCATATCCACATTTGTAGTAAGACAGAATAAAACCGGTTAGTGTTGAGAAGGCGGAGGTTCATGCAAGTCAGTTCACAGAAACCGGACAGGGAAATTACCGCAGTCAAGTTCGGATTGGACCGGAGCACCGTAGATGCACTCCTCTTGATACCACAAGAGAGCAGATGGGGAATACAGTTAGCATGGTCAAAGATTAACAAGCTCCATGAAAGAGAACAGTGGTTATGAAGAGCAGACAAGGGGAAACAGGTTGGATGAGGAAGGAGACTCATTTGATCGCAACTGCTGCGAACATTAATCCAGCTTTATCTATGCGATGGATAATAAAGGCTCGCAGAGTTCCGTACTTACCAGTTCTTTCCAAAAACAATGCAATTTTTGGCGTGCCTGGTTTTATGTACAGTAGGTTGCCAGTACTATCCACTTACTGCGGAACACCTACGGTTGTGAATGATAATGCTTACTGCTAAGGACAAATAAATATGAGGACCTGATGCATTTGTCAGTGTCCATATTTCAAATTTGCGCAACCCAGGTAGAAACCGGCACTTGGAACACAAACAGCAATGGTGCATGACATTTCAGGTGGAGTCGCCTCTTGAAGGCGAATCGCTAAACGGCGTTCAAATTTTCGCAATCATCACACCGAACATCCAACTTTTCGGCACACCGCACTAGGTCCGGAAGACTGAATCCGCCAGTTTGAATGAAGACTTACTTGTCAGCTAGTTCTCTACTCGCTAACCGACCGTAGCAAACACCTCAGCTATAAAAGATGCACTACACGCTCTACTCACAGGGTCTGTCCTACAATAGCGCAACATAGTAGTTTTATGCTTGTCATCCTCCAGATTCTGTGATGCAGGATGAATTGCTACGAAATTAACCAAAACTACCACGGCGATCGGCGGGAATTCCGTAGCACTCACTTAGAGTCACTTGTTATTTGTATACATACACTTGTCGGGTACCGGTGCACACTTCTTTATTGTAAGTATTTCGAAATACTGGTTACAGTGAGTTGCCATCATGATAGGGCGGTCGGAACTGATGGGACAAGCAACTTCATCTATTTTGTCTTCAAGTTTCCACAGTGCTATTTTCTGGAAGTCTTGGATTAGTGTGTGCGCAATTACAATATGCAATTTAACGTCCAAAGTTACAGGCCTCATGACGTTGTGATTGGCGATCGCAGAACATGCCCCACAATCAGCAGTATTCCAAGTATCAGCAGTTTTTAACTGGGCAACATTTCGTTTTTGACACAAAAGCTTCACATCCGACCAAATGAGCAGGTCACCAAGTTGGCCAGATTTTAGGGCAGACAGTAAGACCCCTTCGGATTAGCAAACTAGATCAGTGTTGAATGTCAGTTAGAGGGTCTTGTCCGTTAGTGCGGTTGCATAGATCTAACGATTGATGGGTTTGTGGAATTTAAGGTTATTTTTTATCGGTTTTGGTTCCTTTATCTTGCGGTTTAGCTTGAATGCCACTAGTAGATTTCGTTGGTTTGTGTAGGCTTGTAAGGGCTAACACAATTTAGTCGGAGGGAAGGGTGGGTGAGATTAGGTTTACTGATTGGTCCTCACTATGTGTTAAAACCTGGCTAACTTGGTGACCTGTTCACTCTGATCGATGAAGCTTGTCTCAAAAAGCGAAACTGCCGATTGGTTACCCCCCTCTCAATTGGTTCCAAATTTTTTCCAAGTATTCTACGTGTTTTACCTATGAATCGATGTGAATGCACTAACAGGACAAACAATACGCGAAGAAGTCCCATATAGACATTGAGAACGTAACCAGGGGACCGTCCGACCGCACTTTGAAATGGCACGCGGGCTCATGTGCTACAATAAACTAGAAGGTTACGTTAAAACCACTACTCTGGGCTTAAAGTCATCATAAAAGACTATGGACAGCGCCCAACCGAAGCGAAGCTTGTTAATAATAATCGCTCAGCGGTAACACCCTTTCGGTGCCCAGTTGCCATGTCACCCGGAGAAAACACGAGGGCCGGGATACTGATAAAAAACTCACATGGCCTGAGCTTACAGAAACAATGCCATTTGTGTTAAGCATGAAAATAACGGTGTTTTGTCCTGCGCAAAATTACTGTTCTAGGCACACAACGCTATGTTCCCCCAGGAAAAATTCGTATAGAAGTCCAAAAAACGTAAATTTAGGTGCCCTGACGACGCGCTTACTCCACCGATTTATCTGATTTACGCGAAGATGTGGTTAAAGGGCATTCGCTGGGTGCAGTGTTGTTGGGGATTGGGAATTCTCCGGATGTCTTCTGCTAATTTCCTATACCTTATGACCCTGAGATAAGGTGAGTTCGTTTGTCCGAAGAGAATACAAGGCGCTGCAGTAAAACCGGATGATTGCGTAAGTTACAAATGTTGTCGGTGCGAAATGATGGGTTCCAAAACTGAGCCGCTGACTTCTATTTTTTTTCACACCTCGAACACCAGCTTTTTTCAGAAACACCAGATCAGCGGTACTGAGATAGGTTAAGTTGTTTTTAGGAAAACCACCTTACATGCGGTAAGTGACATCATATTTCACAATTTGCGAAATTGTATTCCCGTCAACCTACTGTGTGCTAGGTTGGACTCTCTTGAAACAAGTCTCACCGTGACTTCGGAAAGAAGCAATGGGACCAAACTAAGTTAGTTACAGTAGAAGTTGGTGGATACACCCGCAAGGATCACTGACAACCATGACGCAGCCTGTGGTACACATGCATCAGGACTACGTGTCCAAAATCTGACTATCCCTAACATCACTCTAGCAGAACTAACGCCCCTCATCTCCAGCTCACCACCTTTTCATTGGTAGATTAATACAGACCGGTTTCGACACACGGTCGCCCATTTCCTATTGTCAGCGAATAAAACGGAACGGAGCCACTGTACGATCGTTGACGCTGCATAGCTCATTTACTGAACAGAAACGACTATATGCGGAAGTAAGCTCATCAACTTTGAGGCAAGCAAATGCACGAGATCAAGTAAATCATTACTGTTCCGAGAAATGACAAATAAATTGAGTTGTAAATGACTTGCCTTGTGATTCCAACATAGTAGCTTTCACTGTAGATAGTATTTTGAGTTGATTCCCGATTGTTAGGATGCGCTCACTGAGATGCAATAAATTCTGTTAAAAAGAATGCAAATTCAGACGTTGAAAGAATGAAAATAGACCAGGGGGCATTCCCACCATTATGGTATCTCATAAATCATCTTTACAAATTAGTTTCACCTATCGGGCCACTGAGAGTGAGTAACATTTTCTTCCTCGTCGAACTCACTGAACGTATTCGCCTGTCGGTGCACTCTTTCGCTAAGGCTTTTGCGCAACGATTAGCATCCAGCGACGCGCCAGCAATTGCCATCGCGACGTTGATCAAATCTTTTTTCGTACCGTATTCACCACTAGAAAGAAGAAAGGGTTGATGTGAATTGCGAAACGAGGGAGCGTCTTCGAACTGGAGGTACCCGAAGTCACATTGAAAGGTAGGCTTACCGCACGATTTGGCTCAGTTGCGCCATGAGTGCTGCCATCCTCTTGGTTGTCGCAATCAGCTCATTGTCTCTGCTACACCACAGGCGTGCCTCTTGGTGAAGTGCATGAGCAGCCGCCTGAAGTAAACGGATGAAAGGATTATTATGAGAAACCAGCGGAAGAAAATACTGACTGCGAAGGGCTTACAGATAGGTGTTGCCCCGGGAGTTTTCAGCCAACTCGCGCAATCCACTACCACTTATCTTGTTAATTAAGCGTATGGCTACCATCCCACGGCAGCACGGATTAGTGAAAATATCATAGGCTGTCAGCTTTCAGATTACTATGATAAAGTGTCCTGAAGCAATCAAGATAGTGAGAAATTAACGCAGCAAGATTTTTGGGCCACTCAATGATAATCATCTCGTCAAAGGGGATTTTGTAGTTTGGAAACCTCCACAAATCACTTCGCTGTACCTTTAGTGAACGTGGATATTTTGACTACGATTTCTCCATTCATGTTCTGGATCAGCTAAAACCAGTAGATGGATCATAGAGGATTGCACGTTGCTCTACGCCAAACCAGTTATCCTGTGCAGGGTACTACCATTTACAGTTGGCGACAGATCTATTTCATCAGTGTTGAAAACACTTTCCAGACGGACGGACTAGACATGGAGGCATTGACGAAATTACAAGTTTACGGGAGAAATCAACTAGAGTCTGTGGTGTTAGCCCAAAAATGAGAACCTTCCACACTACCTGGTCAATAAGACTCAGGTGCATAAATTTAGGCACTATAGTACACAACACTGCCACCTGTCAAAAACAGACTGGGGGGATGAGGCTTTCAAATTAGAAAACAGTGATTCATGCCTCTCACACATTAAGAACAGTTTTCAGCTCTGTCCCGTTAATGTCTTGTACTAACAAACATGCAGTCCGAATACCAACTTGATTGAGATTCTATGAAGCGCACTAGCACAGTCAGTGTGTAGCAGTACAGGCGACCATAATCCCATAACTGAGTTTGTGGTTGCTCTAGAAAGGGAATAGCTCGACCGAAATTCTATCCACACAGTAAAAGTACCACGAATTGATTTACGAAGGGTTTGAGTTGAAGTGACCGAAAACACCATCACAAGGCGAGATGGCTATCATTAATTGGTTTCAGAATTTCATCATGCTCACTTTTCGCTTCTTAGCTTATCACAGAATTGTTGTATTGGCTGGGTTTGAGTTCCGGTGTAACATGTGACGTGTCGACAGGAAAATTGCATCCACTAGGTTTGATGTAGTGAAACACATAGACGGCCCTATGATTTAATCTTGTTGTGTATGATAGTAATGGACATCTTGGGTCGCAAAAGTTCGACAACGTCAGTTGAACCTAAATCTTCGATAGCCTCAAAATTCACTCCCGCTATTGGTAAACTTTGCCGAAAAACACCAACCCATACTAAACACCTCCCCAATATGACAGCTTTGTTGTCTTAATATGACGAATAACGTAATGCCATTACCTACAAGAAGCTGAAGCTAGGAGAATAACTATTTATGGAAAGCGTCTAGAAGCACTAGAATGTAAGGGGCAAAAAATCTGGTACATCCAGACTTAGTTGCTCCCGAAACGTTACCCCTAAAGAAGTGACTACTTACAACAATATGGTCAGGGAATCCTATGCGCAGGTTCCGAGTTGTCCGCTGGTAGTTTGATAGGATGTTAACTGAGAAATCTGAATAAATCCTGAGGGCAAACAATCCGCAAGCATCGAGATGAGGATAGTGTCCTTGACTTACGACTCTACGGCGAATGACGGGTGTCTTGAAAGAACATTGAATGACTACTACCCAGGCCTCAGTTTTATGAACCATAAGACAGTCATGTGCTCCGGGGCTGCATTCCCAAAGTGTTGACTGGCTTCGTCACGACTTGTTTTGTAGATTGAAAAATTCCATCAGAAATTTAAAATAACCCAAAAGACTATGGATCAGTGTATATCACAATAATTCACGGGCTTCATCGAATTTGTTATGGTAATCCGACAGACAGTACATCACAATGTTGGGTTATAATACTTATTGGCGCATGAATCCAGCCAGAAAGTTTCACGGCGAGTAGGATAAAACATACCATGATGGGTTGGTTTTCCTCTGGTGGTGGGAAATTGAACTCTTCTTCAATATCTGTATCCGAAGTATCTGTTCCCGATGCCGCAGGAGCTGAAATAATGAGGAATTAAACACCAGTTGAATGACGAGGCTGACAATGGAAAGCAAGGCACCGCGTGCAATTCGTAGGGTGGTGTACTTTTACCCATTGACGAAGCCATTAATAGAGTCCCGAATGTTCTAAACCAAAAAAGGCTCCAAAAGTGGGCAGCCTCGGGCGAGAGAACTTATCCCTCTGAACAGTTTAAGACCAGCATTCCCCGGCGAATCACACTTCAGAGTTGGTCTCTGTTTACCAACGTTCGAATACCTTCATACTCGCTCTGCATTTGTAAACAAGTTGCATGAGAATTCTGGCGAGCATTAACTTCATTGTCATGCAACGTAACCGATGGAGTTCTTTTAGCCTAGGATGACCATGGATTGCGATTCTAGTATATGTATTGACTACACCTAAAACACTGAGAGAGTAGCCGAGTTACACTAGTTTGCTGGGTCTCAGCAGTCAAATGGGTATGCTCAATGTCACTTGAATGAACAACCATGTGGAACGACCGGTAATTCACGAATGAAGTGAATCTTATATCGGTTGGTTCAGTGTGACTTATCAGTGTCCAAATTAACACATACCAGTCGCTGATGTACGGCATTCCTGATTCCACATAGTCAAGACACTTTCACCACCTACTGGACAAAATTCAATGTTCTAGTACAGATCTTCGGATGGCACAAGTCACTTCGGCTTCTATCCAATTGGGAACAACTATAATGAGAGTTCAGAATGAGAATCGCAAACTGCCCTCAACGCAAAAAGATAACTTTGCACATCTCGGTTCCAAAAACAGTCGTGTGTGGTGTTGTAGGGGGCTCCGATGCCTGAAAGGTTACCTAATGTGCTTATCAAAGGTTGGAGAATCGGTAACTGAAAAATGATTTGCAAAAATGGACTTCCTACAAGTCGGTATGAATGTTTGATATGAAGAAGTCGAGCAATAATGAACCTATTTCCCATGTTTTACACAAATGATGAACCTGTGAGTGAAAAACATTTCACTGATCATGCGAAAAAGTGTCTTGTCACATGCAACAATGGGACGGATGTGCAATTGGCACGCTGTTCATGCAGACGGGATCCACACTACCTGTGAAGGCATACCCATCGCCAACGGTGAACGTCAAAGGTTGGTGGTGAACCAAATTAGGTCCGTGAATTTGGTGTCTGGCTCTATGGAGCACAGGTGGGATCACAACCGGATGGTAACGATCATCTTGTAGCATTCCAACAAGAAGAAGGAGAAAAAGCGATCAGCAGCAAAGCTGCATGACGGTAACTGAGCATTGGAATATTTGTGGGAAAATCGACACGGTAAATTACAACAGAAGCATGCAACTTTGCGCGATCACTGAGGAAGTTGGTTGGGACCGTGATCAGTTGGTGATCACGCAGTAATGTAACCGCGCGGAAATTGGTGAGAAAATTTTGGACACCATTAATCCCATGTCTAACACGTAGAAAAAGGGAGTTCCGAACAGATTCACAATGCTGAGGGAGTCAAGACAACCTGGAAGACACTGTTGTTTGGATATTCCCAAGCTCAGGGGACAGAGCAACCACCGACAAGTGTTTCGGCGCACTGACGAATCTGAAAGTTATCATGCGCTACTTTGTCTCCGTACGGTGATAGCAGTCACCTTCTACTCGATGGCTTGCATACTCGTCAGTCGCTTGGTTCAGTTTGACTTATTGTTGTATCGATACATGTAAGAGCTAAAAATCGCTAACACTATCTGTCTACAACTCAGCGGACAGGATATCTGTAGAGTAGTGATGTATTTAGATTCAAAAATATCCTGGATACTATTGTACGGCGAAAACGGTAACAATAATGGTCTAATATAGTAACTAAAATTATTGTTAATAGTATCCCTGTAAGTGCATCACTCTATCAGCAGCAGTTCCACTGACGCACAACTGCGATTGTCTTTGTGCTGGTTACACCGGGTTAAATACTTCGGTTGGTTAGAACTGACCCTCAACGATCATCGCCGTATAAACCAAATGCAATTAAGCCACGGCTAACTACAGAGAGCCAAGTGGGTTCGACTTTTTAGTCATGGAAACTCACTACTTAGTTAAGCCCATCTTTGCGTGCAAAAATACCTGCCATCAAATCCTGGATAATCTGGAGCCAAAAGAGGTGCTAAAAAGCAATCTTTGACCATGGTAGTACAAATCAAACTGATTACACCTTACTGCAAAAGCTAATCCTATGTTTGCCTTTTCTGCACCTCGTGAGTGGTGCGGTCTGCAAGATCTTCTATCCATATGCTGTAGGCCCCACCTACTTAGTTGTCCTCATTTTACTGGACAATTACGGGTCATCAGTTAGGCAAATTAATGGCTATGTGGTTCATCGGTTCAAGTCCTGACTGATTCGGATTCACCCGTTCGTTTATGCCTGGTGGAACATTTAGCCTCAGCTTGGCAGACATGCCAGTACGTATTGGTGGTGTAAGTAACCAAGATGACGTCTAAAAGTGGTCGAAGTTGTTGACAGAAAACAGTAGACAAAGACACGTTTTGTTGTGACTTTGTGTGCGAATATCATCTCAGTTTGATGTGTCCGGGGAGAGTATGTGAGTTTTGGTCAAACTGATCCGGATTGCTGTTTCCTACACACCATCTTACGATGCAAGGCAATAATACGCCCTCAGGAAGCACTTCACTAACCCTGTTAATGGGTGTTCACGAGTGTACTGCAACCATGGAAATTCCCCTTCAGCCAGGGCATTCGCGGAGCTGACCAGAATAATTCTCATGCGGTGACAATCCAGTCTTCTTGACAGCGGTGAGCCTGAATCGTTTTACCTGACATATCCCGAGATGTTTGGTTGGTGAATTTAACTACGGGCATACGAGACGCTAGCATTAAGCCCTTGGTAAACCGATTAGCGAATGACTGTTTATAGATATGGATGAACAAATATCAACGGAAGGATTTCATAGCTGTAGTTGTTTCAGTTGAAATGACGACGTGAAGCCAAGGTTAACCACAATCCTATAGGGTTTGGCTAATTCGATCTAGGTAGAATAGCTGCTATCAGTAAAGTAATTCCGCTCTGAACTCAACCCACATCCTATTGGATAAGGGTTGGCACAGCCTGACAAAATTAAGTTAGGCACATGTGTCCTGCCCTCTCCATTCAGTGGTAGGAACACAGCGTATGCCGCGGAGTCGGCCTTCAGCCAGTATGGCAATGGAACTGTAATGGGGAGCATAGACAATACGGGTTACATCTGGAAATTGTGGTTGGTTGGAGCGACCCACGACATGCACTATCAGTGTAAGTTGGTATTCACGCACTGTTGTGCGATGTGGCCACTTTAAGGGAAGCAACGAGTTTACAACCAAGTCTCAGGGCATCATGACTGACATACTTAAAGCCAAATGGTTGCTCGCCATCTGTCATTAAAACACCTATGAAACGTGTGGTGACGTGAACTAGTACATGAATCAGAAGAAAGTGCAACTACATTCATCTATCTGAGAAAAAATCCGCTTACTTTGAATGACCAAATTTTGCATTTCTTGGACTGGCGCCTCACAACAGGGGTGTTGTGATGAAGAGGGGGTATGGTTTGTCGACTGGTAATGCTCATGATAGTAGGTCGTTGGGAGGACAGAAGGACCAACGGCCTGTTTGACCATTCCAACAGCTACCAGCATCTGTCGGTTAGCGGCTCTCCAGCGATCGTGAATCTGGGGATCTTTTATCTCCAACACAAGTCCCTTTGCTTCGTTGACCATTGGTGTGATGGCTGTTGAAGCGGGTAGAAGTACAAAGGGTACGTTTAAGCGGATCTGAGAGGATTAGCTAGACAGACATCTTGGACTAAAGTACACGGAGCACAATTTTTCCGTACGCAAGATGTAACTGACTTGTAGAATACGGGGACTGTGATGCATCAAGGTTGTTCTGACTAAAAAACGTATTTTTTGTTACACAACACAGGTCGGTGTCAGTTGTGACTGGACCATGATAAGTGTATTTTTATGGTCAAGCTGAGCCATATCAAGTCGATTTAGCATAAAAACACAAAGTGGAGGGTTCAGGGAGCCATAGGGAAGATGAGCAAAGTGCATCACCGGTTGCTCCAACCTCAACGAAACACATGTAGAGTCTATCATGGAGAAGAATATTGTTGGCTCAGGCTGTAATGATTATTGCTGATTTGTCCACTGAGCCGGACATTTGGGATGCATGCGTTTCATCACCAATGGAGGTAATGCTATCAGTGAGATGTGCGCAGACGTCCTGGGTGTTTGAGTTTTGGCCTGCCATTGGCGGTTGAAATTAACAGTCCTACTAGCTTGCTGAATGCCGGTCTCTTGATTGCTTGACATCTAGATGGACCTGCAATTTGGCTTGGCTTTTTGGATGTTACGACGAATGTTGCCCATATGCAGATGTTTCAAATCGGGGCAGCGTAAACACGACTATCTGAAGCGCAGTTGATTGGTGTACTGCAGCAAACCTTTATTCATGCTGTAACTGTGCGGGAGACCCAGCTAATCAACATATTTGATAAAGGCATCGAGTCATGTTTTGGTTTGTCCACTAAGTCAACACCGCAAGAGCTGTCAGCTGTGTGGCTACGGAAGTTGAGCAGCTTGTTGGTTTTTAGCCTTCTCAAGGGAGGCTACATCAATTGTTGTGATGGTAGCAGCCTGTGGTAAGTTCTGAGGTACGGGCCTCCAAAACTGCCAGCATGTGTTTCCCTCCGAGACAGGCAGCTTCCCACCGATGATGCTGATATGGGCCAGCTAGCTTAGAGCCGAATCCGTGTCCTGTGCGACCCTCATTTGAGTGACACATTAGCACGTGTCATCATGAGTGTTAGCTGGAAACAACCGACTGAAGTCCGCACAACTTCCAATGTGATCAGGTTATCAAAACCCTGTCCCAGGCCACCTTTTTAAGAACTTAACCGCCAGACAGATCAGCAGGGCTAACACGGGCATCTCCGTTTCTGGTAATAATACAGATGTCTCTGTGTCGTACATGGTTCATACCCCAAGGTTATTCATAGAACCGCGCTCTGGTCTCGGGTTCCCCGGAGCATAGCTTGAAGTCATGGCTAGACCGGTTGTGTGATCGCAACATTCGAGATGGTATCGATGTAAACAAACCAACGGTATCGTTTAGTTGCTGGCATAGAGTAAGGAGGGTATGTCTACCCTCTCATTTCTTACACTGTAGTGCAGAAAGTATTCAGCGTCAGTGCCTGGGACCCTAAGCCGCTCAAACCAGGGTTCGGTGGTCGTACCTCAGAAAGGCGGGCAGTTTCAACCAGTAGTCACGTAGGCTGCGTTTTACGACAATACCTCACATCCTATAGGCTCACAGCACTCTAACAAAAGGCTGCATTCTTAGACATCTCCGAAAACAATACCTAATAGTGAATTCGTGTAGAGGGAGAGAACCTCTGTCCATATCCGAAAGCGTTCAGCTGCAGCACTGTTCCGGTGCCTAGACGCCATGCCACCCGAAGGAAGCACGAGGGCTGGGATACTGCCAGGTTGCCCAAGCCTAGACAGGGGAAGTCGAGTGGCGGAGGTCGGATTCGAACGACGGACCTTTCGGTCAGTAAATTCACTCTCTAACTACTTGGGCCATCTCGCCCATATCCGGCCAGTCAGTACACGCTTTACAACCAGTAAGGCTTAGAAGTTCGAACATAACCTAGAGGTCCGTAATTCAGATCCAACCCTGACATCTCGACCGATGCTGCATGTAAGTAGGTACATCACGTCTGGCATCACATCACCCATTATGCTTCCGTTTTGCTGCGTCGTAGCTGTACAAGGGAAGAGTGCTGTCGTTGAACGACGTGATCAAGCTTGGAAGCAGAGGGACGTGAAGTTGCTGTGACTTAAAATTGAGATCCATATAGACAATCGGCACTGTTTGCTTCTTCAAAGCCAAGCTATCGGTTATGTTTAGTCAAGCCCAATCAAGTAGAGTTTACCGGTGTAGTGGATCAGTACATTAGATGAGCTCTTGACCTGATGACTTAAAGTTACGACTCAAAAATAAGATTGGATTGTTTCATCGTAGCGTTTCCCATTAAGAGAACATTAACCACTGGGTAAACCGGAAAGTGCTTAACTTCAGTTCTGGAGGATTCGTTTCCTCCAGGAGGACGTAATAGAAAACGTTTCATGCATCTCAAAATGCTCCTGACTGTGTAGACAACAGAGCGGCAACTGGTGAACCGAAACAAAGCCGAAGCAGATCTTCATCCACTTGAAAAGGACATCCGAACAAAGAAGAACGAGATTCGCTCTAATACGATTGCCGCATGAGATGTATAAATAAGTGTATTCGCCGCGCTGATATTTGGTCCCTTAAACTCTCTCACCAGAACGGACGGTAGACATTTACTTTACTACCTTCAGTAGCACATGCTTGCAAAAAATGTATGCGAACTGCGGTATTCTTTGAGAAGACGGATATGGACTCAACTTACTCGCTCGTAGCTGTTTCACCGATTCGTTCACCCGATTAACATAGACGGGGTCCTCGCTGTTCTCAGCTTCCCGAGTGGCAACTTGGAGTATTCGGTTAGCTCTTCGTGCCAGACTTGTCGTTGCCTCTACTACACCCGTAGTAAATGCCTGCTGGATACTCTTCTCCGTCATGTCTACATCTTTCATCATGCATGCCTCTGGAATTTGGGGAAGGATGGAAAATCTTTAGATGAGATGAGATTGAAATGTGTGGGGAAGTAATAGAATATCGTTGAAATGTTTTATTGACATTAGGAGAACAAGAAAAAATGTAAATTTCCAAGCCCAAGACATCCGTAACGATCCGTTTCTAACAAACTTCGAGAGTATTATCGTACCAGAGAGATTTGAACACGAGACAGCTTCCTAACCATCTGCAATGCTAGACAAAGAGTAAGGTCAACTTAAGTTACCGATGCAAAATAATCGATAGCTCGGACATTCCTGGAAAAAAAAAACAGAAGAATGGCGACAAAATCCCTCACAATTCACAATTGAGGAACGGCTTACAAACCACATTTCATTCTACGAGTGAAGTCCATCTATGCTGAAAAGCGACGAAGTACTGAATACACATTTCAACATTGCTGAGGATCAGCGACAGTGCGCTGCTCACAAGTCTCTAGGGAGATTCGAACCCGAGATCATCTGGCGGTTAGTTTAATACCGGCACAATTCTGCCACGGATGGTTGACCAGTAGTAACTAATTCGCACTTTGACAAGAGGTAGCACCACACACCCCTCAATGAGGTAACTCAACTATGCATTAAAAGTTGCGCTGAGTGGCGACTTTTCAGGCAGAAGGCATATGTGAATATGCGGTTTTCCCTTTCTGCACAGATTACCTACATTATGAAGTTGTGTGGCTGTGAGGAAATTTTGAAGTGATATGAAAGGCGTGATGACTAAAGGGTGGGTGATACCATAGCTTATCGAGATACGAATCAAGCGCACCGATGATCGGACCCTTGTGGTCGAATAGTGCGAAGTTCAATTAACAAGTGAGAGGTCGTGGGCTTGTGAAACAGCTGTACAGAACCTCTAAGATTCCAGTATGAATTACAAATAACTTCCAGGGTGATATGTCAAAAAGAACTTCAAAATATTCTCACTACTAACAAAAACATGTCAACCAATACTGGGTATTTCGTTCACGTTGAATGCTTTTCAGAGCTATCCAAAATCGGAGTAAATACTTGCTTCGCATAGGCCCTACAACAAGGCTTGTACAAGATTAGCTGCCGGAGGACTGAAATCATCGGTTTATGGGACAATTATTCTAGATATGACGCTATGATGACACTGGTCCAAATTACGGCACTTCCATGCCAATTATACGGATATTTCTTGGTTCATAAGTCAATGGTACCACATGCTGATAAACTAGTTGGGTTTCAATCTACATAGATGTCGAATCAATGCTCTAACAAAGGTGAATACGATTCCCGAATTTCGCGCAGCAACCTTCATTTCTCGTAAGAATTAGCCACAAACAGGTAAGAAGCATACTGTGGGACTGACGAAACTGCTCACATGCCATTGCCTTAACGCGACTGGTTGCCTTGAGCTGTCAGCAAACGTTTGTGTGTTAGGGCAATACCAACTGCAAAGAGACCAGTGAAACCAAATAATGTTGTGACGTAAACGAGGTTGTGCAGTGGTATATTTTGAAGGCAACTACCACATGAGGATGAATAGATCTTTCATAGAATACCCTGTTCGAAAGAAGATATTTAAATTTGCCGACGACCCACTGCCGTTTTACTATTTAAGGCCCGTCTGTAAGGCTGGATATGCGGATTACAATTAAGCTCCATAAGCTACTAAGAAAAGGACAAAGGATACTGACATGCTGAAGACCCGTGCAACCGAATTCCGACATAAACCGGTACCATACAGTTGGGTGACAACGTAAGAACCGTAACAGCCGGTTGAGCCTCAGGAGAAAATACCAAGCTCGTGCAAGCGTAAACGCCGACTTCGTCTAAAGTTTGCCGTGGTAATCCGTGGTTGAAACATGCTTTCCTACGAGATGAGAACGTTCAATCGTGGTGAAAGTGCACTAGTTTTTTTAAGTGTCGCCTGTCGCCCGGCAACTGTGCAAAGCAATTGTGCCACAGTGCATGGGAAAGGCAAACAGGAAAGTCATAACTATCCCACAAGACAGCAAATGATGCACCTTCGGCATCAGATCACAAAAAAACATACAAACTGGAAACGCCGTCACGATTAGGTCTAAGCTAAACAATAAACGGTAACAGAAAACGAAGCACTCTGTAAAACCACCGCACACGTTAGTTGATCAAACAGATAAAGACAGAACTAACAGGAATTCTCAATTCTCATACACATAGATTAGATAGTAAAATGGTTCGGTGCAACGAAAAGAAAGTTGGACAGACTGAGTGAATGCTTTAACGAATCAGGTTGAGGAAAAGATTTGGCACGCTTACCCTGGGCCATGATAAAGGCGTTGGCATCGACCGCCTCATCGACCAGTGTTCGCATGCGCTCAGCTGTGTCTGTCCAATGTTGCCGCATCAAAGCGAAATGGTCCACTGTTGCTTGTTCGTGCGGTAGTGGAGTGGAACCAGGCAGGCGGGAAGCACACGACAAAACAACTGCCCGACCAGCCAGAACCACTTGCGAGCCCAGCTCAGGAAGCTGACTGGCGAGGCAACGTAGGGCATCTGCACGCCACACGTCAGATAAACTGGCTGCTGCGGCTAACTCAGCAGTGGCCGAAAGCTGACCACACTGGGACTGAAAAGACAGTTGAACGCCAATACAAGCCCAAATGAGGGTTGGCCTGCTAGAGATTGTCTATTGTAGTACCCATTGTGGGAAAAGATCTCTCAACAGTGGTTACGGACGGATAAGTTGACATCAAGAATATCCAAACCTCATGCGAACGCACGCAACTTGCCTGCTTATGCAACCAAAAACTTTGGAACATTTGCCACCGAATCATCAGAGACGAAACAGTTACTTATCTTGTGTTTTCGGTGGACATGGATTGCCGCTTCAGTTTTTTATCCACTTTATCTCCGATAGTTGTTTTCATCACGCATTGCATGACAGACGATGTTGATTAAAATGAAGTGTACATAGTCCCAATCATTGCTCTTCCGGAACGACCCCAGTCGGATGAGTTTTGCCAGGATGCCTCAGACTAGTGATAAGAGTAAGCGTACACTGGCTCTACACAGAGCAGACAACACAACCTCACTACTTAGCTGTTTCCAGTTTGGGTTTCTGACATGGCCCATCGTGAACCCTACGGGGACAGCACAAGCAGTTTCAGAACGCTTTATCTTGTGTCCATATTTGGTATCTCGTCAGAAAAGTCGCTAACATGTATCAACAAACTATCAGTCTATTTTGCTTCGGTAATCTGGTGGCAAATGGCTCTCGGCGATCACCTGATTAGGAACACCGTTTTGGTACGGACCCTGGTTGGGATATCATGCATACTGACTTGTTTGAGCAGATACTGGGACGATATCGCTCTTCTGGAGCATACGAATCAACAGTACCTAAGGCGTGCCCCTCAATCAAAATAACATACCTAATATCTAACAGGCGCGGTCCTTCCTCTTGAGAGGAAAGGACTGACCGTGGTCAAAGCCGAGCTAACCAACTACGGTGGAAAACATACTATTGATAAGAATTCCAAGGCTGAGTGCGGTCGGCGTAAAGTGCACTACCTTGAGGCTGGGCAGTCACATCCACTCCTTCAGAATAGGAAACTTTGGAATAGTATAAAAACCCGTAAGAATTCTTTTCCCTTGTACGTAAATCGGAGGCGATCAGATTTCACCACCAACTGTTGACCGGTGGAACATCGAAACACTGTTAGATCATGCTGATCTGATCGATCGTCTCGCAATGAAGCTGAAGAGATTTGGATTCGATATTGCGGACCTAAGTGGTACATGAGTAGCTGACCAAAGATGACTTTGAGAAGCTGATTCGGAAGATACATTCTACAGGATCGGCTGTATGGTAAGAAAAAAATGAGATCATGGTGTTAGTTTCATCCTTCTGATTGCAACAAAAAATGCTCGACTCGGAATCACTTGGCATGGCTTGTGACTCGCAGGTCAAACCTACGTATATGACAAATGTATACCTTCCAACGTTATACTCAACTCCGGAACACAAATGCCAACGATGCTATCCACACGCTTGCTATCACCACCAACATGAGGTTCCGCCTCGAACAGCAACACACGGTCCCAATAACACACGAAGCAGCCACTCTTATCTACTCGATTACGTTATCGTTCGTCAGCAGTGCATTCGGGAAGTGTGCATCACATGAGTGCTGCAAGGATCCGGTTGTGGAACGGACTACCACCTTGTCCGGAAGAAGCTTAAGATCCAGCTTCGTAAACCACACCAGGTCAACTGCATCCGTGTGCGCATATGGATGCAAACCTTCACAACGATCCCAAAACGAGGTTGATGAACTAATATCAACTGGTCTCTGCACCTTAATCCATCCAGCAAGCTGACAGAAGCATGGCACTAATCGAAGAGCCAGATGACGACGGGGGTCAGAATGATCGGGCAAGTGGTCCCCAGACGCCTCAAATAGTTTAAAAAACAGCATATAAAACAGCTGATAGTTGAAAAAACGAGGCGCTCGCCGAATTTCTTGTCGAGCCCAACATAAAGCTCAGGAAACAGCAGTTAAGTAGTGACCGAACCGACCGGACCCGGGAACTCAACCTCAGCAAAGATGAATGGAGAAACTGAGCAGACTGGAGAATTCACCACCTGGGAAGCGGCATAGGGAATTTTACGATCGCCTGAAAGCTATCCATGGGCGGAGAATCCAGCTAACCCAAACTCGCAGAGATGCTGGCAAGGGACTGAGACAGACATCACGCGTAAAAATACTGAATACATGGTGCAAGTACCCCAACAAACTGCCTCAACGAGGCATGAAACTGCTCATGGACCTTTCTGTGACTACCGAAGACATGCACTGGGCAAACAAGCTGAATGGCAAGGCAGTTGAAGAAAACATACTTGCAACAGATCTATACAGCTATGGTGGTCCGACTTTTGACAATGCACTTCTCCCACTGAGAAACATGGTCTGCCTGAAATTTAGAGACGATTTGATCATGTTACTCTACAAGGTAGAAGGCAAAACAAGACTTAACCTGACCAGTAAATATGCACCGGTCTGCTAAGCAGCGTAAGCAAGCCCATGGACAGCTGAAGTGATTGAAACAAATCCTCGAAGAACAATGTGGATTTCATGCTGATGGCAGCAGAATGGACCTCATCGTTGCTGCACGGCATCCCCAGCTGATCTACGTCCTCTTCATAGACTTCATGAAGGTTTTCACTCCATCAACATAAAAGTATTAGGCTATGCACCGAAAATTCGTCAATTTCATTCGGAATGAGAGCGGAGGTTCAGATCGACTTCGAATGACTACGAAATCGCCACTGGCGTAAAACAGAGGGGCGTTCCTACCGAACGGCCATCGTGAATTCGGCTTTCCTGAATGACGAAGCCGTCGTACAGTTCGAGTATCGGATTGATGAACGTCTGTTCAAGGTGAACTGCAGCGCTTACTGAGAAGCTTGCGGCGGCTGCTGTGCCGTTTGGCTTGGGCGTCAACGCAAAAAAGGCCTTTCTTATGCGCCAACCACGTGAAGTCCGGAACACTAGTCCCAGCATGGAAATTGAAATGGGGTTTGTGGACTATTGCACACACTTTTGATTCCTCAAAAGCACAATGTCTCCAAGGTTGGGTGTTAACCATGAACTGAGATCCGTGTTAATAAAGCTGGTGTGGCTTTTGGCAAACTCGAGACAAGGCTGTGGTCTGCGAACAGAGACCAAGCTAGACGTCTGCAAGGTGGTGGTCCCACGACAGCGCAACTCCGATACTCAAGCAGTTCTCAAATATGCGGTCTGAAATGGATCATTGGCGTTCACAGGCCTAAGCGAGTGTCGGAAACGGAGGCCCTCCGATGGGCGCGCCGCGATGGGATGAGGGCTAGAATCACATTCAACCGTCTACGATTGGAAGGATATGTGTTTACCGAATGGAAAGTGTCAGCTTCCGTATGGTTAGCAGGATGCAAAGAAAGGGGATCCCAGAAGCCGAAGCTTCGATATCTTAATACTTTAGCCCAAAGGTGCTGATGCGGAAGACGAAAGCACAAAACAGGACGGCATGGGGGAAGATTATATGAACTGGAGTTCAACGATCGCCAACTTCGAGGCAGATAGCTGAAGCTTGCGAGGGTATCGTCCAGTTTGCTGGACCTTTAGAAATTAACAAGCTGCATCAGCAGCGACTGTAATGATGATTGTGCTGATCGCATTAGCTGGTCACTAGCGGACACACATCGACCCAGTGGGGAAAATCGGTGGGTAAACTTTAACAGATTAGTCTTAGCTTCCTGGTGTTAACCAGACAGCCGAGTATATGGGAGTGCCAGAAATGGCACTAAATGATCATCATCTTGTGGATAGAATCAAGTCGGATCATAGCTAACTATAGAAAGCCATGCGGGTACATTATGGGTTCTGAAATGCAGCCCCCGTCTATCCGAACCGGACACCACTGAGTTCAACTGCTGTTCCAATCTGAGCTCGGGATAGCTCAGTGGTCACGATGAAAACCCACCGACCGGAATGTCGGTGGTTCGAACCCAAATTCGCAATCTCAACCGCTGCTGTTAGGCAGTATCTGGCGGTATCTCAGCCCTCGAGGTTCCTTCAGATATCTGAGCGGCTAGGCGCGAAAAAGGCGTTACGATTATTGCCATTTTTTATTTACCATCTGTTCTCATCTGTGTCGGCAAGGCCCAGCTTTTATATCTTGGTTGATCCGGAACACAAAGCTTAAAAAGGTACCACAGACGATTCTCTGTTACGATCATTGTTTACATCACACTGAATAATGGTAAGCACCGGCGAGCTACATATGTGCGTAGGATGTGCCTCCAGAGTGGTGTATTCCACCAGTTTCTTCTTTGCATGCACAACGAGTCTCAACTGTTCGGCTGCGCCTACTTGGATAGACAGTTATCTATCAGTGTGGCTAGCTTATGGCTTTAGAATCGCCTACTCACCAATAAATCTTATTTCCCCGGGTTTGCACCGGGTACCTGACTTCCAAGTTGATGATCATTCAGCTTAGAGCAAACCGTGTGTTGCATTAGCTAGTGTGCGTGGGTGTCCATCAACTTACCTAAAGCCTAATCCAGAACTGAATGCCAGTTAAACGTATACCTACACACCTCCGAAGAGGCCAACTCAGTCACGAGATCGACTTCTTCTAAGGGGCATCTCGTCTGTGGACCGATAACAAAGAAAATATTTTTGACAGCGAAACCCTTCAACCAATTCCACTTACGCCGTAACCCATGAGCGGTTTTTCTACAGGGGCTGGCATACGCAAACGAGGATGATAAAAACGTAATCGCAACCACCAATTTTTTTAATCCAGTGGCGTTTTTATACTGCTTTCATACGTTCTAAACAGCGTGAGATTCCCATGCTAGTTCATTAGCATCTACAGGAACAACAGTGTGCCGACAGTTTATTTTTTAAAGGTTTTAAAACTATTTAAACTATTTAAACTACTTATTTTAAACTTAATACAAAAGGTTCTTTTGATGCCTGATTCCATATCAGATCATCCTACCCGCAAAGAACAACCTAGCAATGGAAGCTGCACAACTAACCCTCAGTTTGTGCAAACAGATAGTTGTCTCAGTTTCTACACTCATTCTTCAAGCATGTGGGTGAAAGATTGTAGCCTATCTTCTAAGTATGTCGTCCCTAGCCAAAAACTACTTTCATAAAACTGATCTGGGTCATGCATACATGTTTTCTACGTAAATAGATGAATCTTCAAGTACACGGAACAAAATTGCTGTTGATTTAGAAGGAAGAACAAAGTAACACAGTACTTGCTTGTCGAGACAAGCTAACCTATTCCATTCACTACCATTTTGCGGACGATGGCAGTACCGAAAACGCCACCAAACCTAGTCCTTACCACTAAAACGTTGTAGCCATCTGTTCTACTGTGAATGACCGTTCTGCCCATTGAAGATTGCAGCTTCTCTTCTCGGACCTCTACAGTTTTCCATAACTTTTCGAGGTGAGCAGGCCAAATTTGATTAAGTTCATCTGCTTGCTTTGGGGTGGCCGATGTAATAAATACATACGCAATCCACATTTTGACACGCCTGTATCTGCTAAAGGACGAAGTCGCAGCGTAGAAAAAAGGAGACCTCTAGTCCCATCGACGCAGAAACGTAAATATTCCATTTTCGAATTGTTCTTCAATTATTTCGTGATATGAATTTTTAGTAAGCAGCTGCGCAGTTGTTTTATCAAGCTGTCAGTGCATACAATAGTTGAGCTGACGGCATAAACAGATCAGATGTGCTTGGTAGTGTGCAGAACGACCAAAAAACATCAAAGAATGAACCTCAGTAGCTTGGACATCCACTTTGTTGTGCAACTTTGGGTGACTCACTGCGTGTGGCCCCATTTCTGCGCACGACTTCCAGCCCGAAGAATGGGCTGAGATACTATCAGGCTTCCCGAACATGCGCACGGACTCATCACACGCTACCAAGAGTCAATTCGATTCATTTTCATGAAACAGCTATGCATCACCAATACATAAACCACGATGGAGTCATACTCGCAATACACAGGTAACTAGGCTCGGCCTTCTTTTCCTGCAGAGTTCATTCATCGTCTGACCGCAGAATAGCCGAGCGTACGTCATGCGCATTATCTGGTATAATGTTCACATCTAAGAGATGCAGTGAGCGGAAAGTGTCTCCACCTGGTCCGGCATCAAGACCACTTTCAGTGACACACTCATCTTGACTACATGCAGAGTGGACGGATGAATAACGAGAATAAAGTAACATCGCACACTATCGATTATACTCGCCATCGGTTTCTGAGTCAAGAGAAAGTCAGCTTAGCATGACAGAATATCACTATATTTTCACTAACCGAGAAAAGCTGAGCTTTGTCGTTGTAGACATTTTCATTTGGAGGATCACCAGAGGAAGGGCAGGCGGTTTCGGTGAGTTGTCTAAGTGGACCAACAAGATCGGTATATGTTTCTGCAACCCGGGTAACCAAGTGGTTTTGGAGAGTTTGCCAGATATGTGCTAAACTACGGCTGATTGCCAGAGACAAGTCGTGCTGAGCAACAGTAGTTTCCGGAGCTGAAAATAAGCGTATGCATAGGTTCAGAATGAAGTAATATCGATTTGGAAACCAATATGTTGAAAGGCCGAAACATTGATAATAGAGGTTAATCAAATAAGTGACCAAATGCATGTGGTTTTAGGAAGCACCGTTTTCAGTCAGAGTAGGGGACGACACAAAAAAAGGATTGCAATATTCGAAATCCTAGTCTAGTAACTTAATTAACTGAGGGCTCGTAAACTAATAATGAAGGCTAAGAAGTTAGATTACATACTTTCAGGCTGGCTCGAAATCGTGTACAGTCTATCGGCAGCCCTTTCCACGTGTTCACAGGCCTCCCAACAAGCATCCTCAGCGACTCTAGCCTTGTCTCCGTTTGTATTCTGGTCTGTTACAGAATGTGGTCCAAGATCCATTAGCTTTTTGGCACCTTGCACGAAAGATCGACAAGCTTCCAAACCGACCTGCCGTTGTGGCCCACGCGGATCAACAAGCCAACGTTGTGCTTGGACGAGTTTTCCCTCCAGAGTACGGGCTAACCGGAAGATGGGATTATGTCTATCGCTCCGGTTAATCAGATCCGAACATAGTGTGTTCAAGTGTTTCAGTTTCGCACTGCAAGTAGAACCGAGACGACTAACTTGCGGGCCGTGTGTCTGGAAGAAAAAGTTGGGGAAATACAAGTGAGTAAAAGAAGCATCAAGGAAAATCATTATGTTCGTTGAATTCTAGAGATCTCGGTGTCCGTATGAATGGTGAAACTTATATCACAGTGGCCCATGGTTAGTTTGACATTAGTGTACGAAGCCAGCCCACGCTGAAAGGCTTAGAAGCACTGTAAAGCAGTTTCACCCCCAATGGGAATCATCAGCAGTGCGAATCTCATAAACCTGAAGAGCTCTGAACCCGCGAACTACCAGCTAGCAGTTTGAACACCAAACCGTTTGGCCACGAGCGGCTGATCTGCAGCGCCGCACTTGTTTAAGTAATATTCACACCCCGATCAAAGAAAGGATCATTTATTATCGGGGTTGTGCAGTAACAACTGCGAGTCACAGAAACTGGTAAGGAATTTCAACCTGTCAAGTGGCTGTGTTCCTCTAACAAACTGAGCCTCCCGTGAGGCAGGTTCCAGAATATTCGTGTGTATCAAAGCTTCTTTCAAAAGAAGACATCCATATAAAAATGTTGTTAGGACAAGGGTGATTCATTTTGGAAGCGGCGGTTAATAAGACTTATCGCCGACGTTTTGCACACTAAAGAACTCGAGGGACCTAATGAGCCACATGATGGACGAAACTAACAGTGAATTGTCGAAGAGATATCAGCAACCTTATAAGTTGTATGTTCCGTCAAAACGATACACTCGTCCGGCAATGTTCAGTTCAACGGATCAAACCGTTGATATGCAGGTCTAGCAGTGCATTGGTGTAGTGGACTTACACAAAGGTAGATAACTTGTGCTACTATATAACCACGGAAGAGCAAATTTCGCGCTATCAAATCAGACCTGGATGAGCATCGTAAAAAGCAAGTGTGAAAGGAGTACAGAGAAAATAATTCGAATCGGTAGGAACATGATAAAGACCATTTATCGTTTGTCGCTCCATCCGATTATCGAGCTCCACTACCGAAAACACGCGTTATGCAAATAACATACGCTGAGCGGTCGACCAGGTAGCATAGCGCAGTTTAGGTCAAAGCAGTTGACTTCATGAAGTGAGGGAGCTAATCTCGAAGAGTGGTGTCGACCGATCAGCCCAGATCGATGGTAAAAGGTGCTATCCTTCAGGAGCCTTATCTTTGAAGGTGGTGAGAGAATCAAAAAGCGTATCCTGCATAGATTTGGTGAAGACCTTGAAAAGCGATAATTTAACGGGCCTTGGGAAGAATGTATAAACCCTTAGTTCACCTCACTGTCAAAGATCGTAAACAAAAAACGGATAGAAGGGTGGCGTTAAGTTACTAGCCGACCGAATTGCTGGAAGCTGAATTTAATACTACTTAGCAGCTATCAAACTGGTTGAATTATATCTAACTCGGCAAAACACGTGGAGGATTACCAGCTCTCGTCCATGGGGACCGGGAGATAGCATCTGAAAAATCCTGCTGGAAATTTCGCGGACCATAAGGTGTAGTCAAAGGAACAAAAAACGTAGTACAACAACTTCACGGCGCATCACGAGATAACACTGTCCAATTGCCGGACCGAACAGTAAGTGGATGCAGTGCTTAAGTGTTTAGACAGTGTGGTTTAAACATACGTCCATGTCTCGATTTTTCTTTCAAGATCCTTTGAGAATGGCGAGTCCGGGATCAAGTAATTTAAATGTCAGGCCATGGACGAAACTTGGACCGTTTGGCACACAAATAGTCGCATCACAATCATGACTGACTGAAGTCTGACTACTATCAGTCAGACCATCAGAGACAGAGAAACACAGCATAAACCGATATGTAGTGCACCAGTTGAGAAAAGTTGACGAATCTAACAGGTGGTACATATATGCACACTGGCCTGCTTGCTGGACAGGTGACAGATTAATGGACAAGTAACGATTATTGGGGTAACGTGTGCAGATCCTTTATATAGCCATACTTGAGACAAAACCGTATATAAAAACCAAAGCAGTATGCGACCCGAGGAACACGAGTGCGAAACAAAGGATCAAATACGAGATTTCAAGGAAGCCAGTGTCAAATAGTCGCCAAACAACTTTGACGCGGTACAGTGTAACGCCCAAAGTGACTGGATGGCAACGATTGTACTAACCTAGGCACCGTGGAATCGAGGTAAAGTTAGAAAGTTGGTTCCAATTAGTTGGGCTGAGAGTTTGACTCATGGGTCGTCTTGTCGTCTACCGCATCAAGCACTGGATCAAAACTGGATAGTAATACGTTTGGATCTTGCCAGATTGTTATCCAGGGGCAGCGTCGATCTGGAAGACCACTCGAACCGACTCATGTTTCCAGGATACTTTACACAAAGTAGAGCATGTAGCCACTCACACGTACGCTTACTGATGCATCGAAACAACTCTGGGATCGCCAGCGAGTAAAATGTCTCCAGAGGGAAGTATTTATTTCCCCAGGGGGTAAAGTGTTCCCACATCACTAAACTGTGACGACCCTATCAATAGAAGCGAGTTTACCGTTCCATAATTCTTCGTGTCTAGTTGCTCTACGAAAAATTCCAGTTTTTCAGCTTTTCAACCTTTTTCGGCTGTCTATGGCATTCATATCAAAAAAGCACCATCAACGTATTCTTAAAATTTACTCAATTTCGTAGCAAGGACTACCGTATTACATGAAATCGCGTCTACTCGTTACATCTAAAGGAGCTTTGTGGTTCGCTTACCGGAAAGTTTTACTAATTGCCATGAGGCGAGTCGCATTATCACACTTACCTGGTCAGATAATGTAGAATACAACACCGTCATTCCATTTCCCATTCACTATCTGGCATCTAGAACTCTATGACGCCCATCCAGCGTACGTAATCCATGCGTCAGCTTGTTCTTCATGTGACCTGACAATATGTACCTTCCAGTGAGATTTTAGTTCCATGGCACACAATCCAGTAACCGGGGGACAGGTGGCAGCGTAAACAGTTCAAAACATCATGCACGTCGTTCCGGAGCACAACTACAGGGATAGTGAGCGCGTCACATGATAAATTTACTGGTGCTTCCATTCCACATGTCGTAAGTTGTCAACCCCATTGTCTAGTGTCACTGAATATGACAAAATGACCTGATCGATATGAAAATCTATCAGATTCTGTGAAATCATGCGGGACATCACGCACATAACGGTTCGGTTGCCTGGGTGCACAAATCAGTCACAATGATGACCTTAATGAAATTCTTCGCAGAAGAGATGTGCTTATGTCCAGTCCTTGTTACATTGATCCTTCATTTTCGACTTTTTTTTCAGGAGAACATGTGAGTTCTATAAACATCCTGAAGGAAGCAGTTCCACATCGGAGTCATTAATGGTCTTCTTGAGTTTGGGGGATAGGTCGAAGAACGGACGCAAGCCACACGGGAGAGAGTATGCTGATAGTCGCTTATGTGGGCTTAGAGGAGACAACACATAACTTATTTCAGTCAACGACAGTACTTAGTTCCGGATTGAAGTTTTACTCATGAAAAGTGAAGGGTCGGCAGTGTTCCCGTTTTGATTATCCGAGGACCACTAATAGGAAAAGGAGTCAGAAGCGCCTTAGATGTTTCCACCATAAACCGAAATTTGGATAAGTAACCCATAGAATCATCTACTGAACGAGGAGTGGCATATGATTTACTGTTGTTATATCAGTATTCCTGCAAATGCGTAATTGATGAAGCAAGTGACTAAGAAAGCAGCACTAACTACATTGAATAAGCGAAACACATTGTACCCACATATAGATGACAGCTAGAGATCAAACCAGAGTTACGTGACCGATTCTTATGTCCTTAAAAATGATAAGGTGAATGTCACGTATCTGGGTGAGATAGTAAGCACCAGGATGTGCGCAGTGAGGCAACGTCAGGTGAATGATAAAGTGGGTTGGGATTTAGGGCGGTACGCGATACACACAAATGAAACGCGCCCAGGTCTGAAGCTATTCAGTTCCGTAGATGTGGGAGAAACAATGAGTCGCTAGAACCCGAGATATATAACCCACTAGGAATTTGCGCAGAAGTAAGCAGTTTTTTATTCCGCTCTAGCTACATACCTAGTTAGATACCCGTGTTTTTATTTATTTCATTGTCCCAATGTCGAATGCAAAAATTGTCGCACAACGACGCATAGTTGCCCTGTGGGCAGCTACAACTGTAACAGATTATAGCCTGAATCATGAGAGAGAGAGAATACTTACTCAATGTGGAACGGTAACTAAAGAAATATGCCCAATTAGACTGCGCATTTGTGGTTTCATTGTTCAAACATAGGCAGTCTGCACGAACTCTAACAACAAGACCACTCGTACCCGCAGAAATTCGTCTGAGTGTATTTATAGCGACAACAATCACCAATCAAATAAAATCGAACAACCATGTCTGTGAGGGTTCGGGTGTAGTACAATGATGTCTACAAAAGAAATAATCCTACGAAGAGAGCTCTAAGCTCCTCCTGAGTGATGACCTATCTTAAAGATGTCGCAGACTGCCGTTGTTGATGGGCAACACTATTGTCTCCTCTGTTCAGTGGACGGCTCCCAAAAATGAGTACAAACCTGCCATTGGATTTTAATATAACAGTTAGCCGATTGTCTTAAGAAGCACCGGACGAAAATGAACGACAAACTGGGGAAACCCGATAAGCACTGTTTATGGAGACATTCGTATAACAATTAAACCTTCATAGTTTCACGGAGAGACTTGAACCTAATTAAAGCCCTGTTCGGAGAAACACGAACGCGTGAGTGTGTGAACGAGAAGTTGTGGAAACTGATCAATATCGCGTAAACAACTAGGATTTGTTCTGGTCAACTAGTCGAAAAGGGTTACCGCGGAACACGAAGACCAACCAGTTCTTTTTTTCGACGCAACGTGTAAGTAAGCTAGATGGTACGTGAAGCTACAAGACGGACCACGGACAAAGATAGGTGTCAGATCGAGAGTTTGATATTATTTCACTCAACGTGCGTCCTTTGCACAGCACTGTT